TGCTTTGTTGAGAGTGTGTTAGACCCTGAGATTATGTTGATGTAAATCTAGAGATGTCGATAATGGCAATGATATAGATAGAGATAGATGTAGATAGATAAATGTAGCAATAGACAAAGAGATATAGAGAGATATATAGATAAAGATATAACAATAACAATATTTCAATATATGTCAATATAGATAATATAATGCAGACTTTATCTATTATTATACATCAAAGTTCTATTGAATCTGTTATGTAGAGTATGTTAAATTCAAATACCTATTTAAACGGTTCCTATCAAACTATGCCTGTCAAAGCTCTAGAAAAATATACAATATTTTCTCCGTCGAAATCTACATGGAACCCAGTTTTCCATCAAACTCTGCTTATAAAATTGTATTTTTAGATATAACAAGTAATCCTAAATTCGTAATATATCTCCTTAGGAACTGTATCTGTCAAAGTGTTAATCTTATACATATATTAAATCTTAAGAAATATATGCTTCAGACATACTTTAATATTGATCAAACTGTTTTTACTTTGATTTCGACTCGATCCTTACCGTAAGCTTTGAGATTTGTTCAAAGCTAATCCCTAGCTCATAGCGAGTCATAATAATGCATATCAAACTTACGTCCTTCCATCTCTAACTCTCAAAGTTCGACTTTTGGCTATTGTGAGTAATCCAATTTGCATTCCTATTTAAGTCTATCTTAACAGATCTTAAAAGAAGTTCATCGTCATTGTTAACTGCCGAAAATTGTGGACATAAATTCTAATTCGAATGTATATATGTATATGTATAAATTCTCATGCGAAGCGTGACACAAAATCTTAAATACTTTGTTCATTTCCATTTTCTGTTAAATATCTAATCTTCACCAATTATTTAGCCTCCAAACAAACATTCGCAACCTATATACCCCATTAACACACAGTCCACAGACACACGCACACACACGCACGCAGAGCGCATTGCAAAGTTTGGATCGTAAAAAGAAAGAGTAAACTCGTATAACATCTAAATGTAAAAATCTTGTAACTTATTTATGGGCGTGCAACTTTTGTTTTGTTGTTGTTGTTGTTGTTGCGGCACAGAATTAAGTATACGCCGCATTTGACCGCCATTGCACATGGCCCCCAATTAATGCTCTATTTATGACAGAGCGCCCAGCCCCAAACAAAACCAAAATAAAGAAGCATAAAACATTAAATACCAAAGGTCACACGAATGATGGCTCAATTATACGCATGAGTAATATGCGTGTATTGCTTCTCCTCTTCTTCTTCATCATCTCCATTTGCTACTTCTTCTTCTTCTTCTTCGTCTATTTGGTCATGATTGTTGTGCATTAAGTTTTACGCCTAATGAGCAACAAATTGGGCCAAGTTTTTGGTCAAAACCCCGCACAATTGCGTTATGCAGCTCAAGCTGAAAATTCAAGCTGCAGCAATCATTCATTCTATCATTCGCTCAATACACACATTCATTCACATGCTCATTGGCTTATTTACAGTTCTGGTCGAGCTAACCAAATGCCACTTTAGTTAATAACTTTGACCGCAATACCAAAGAGCAACAGCCATTAGCATATGCTTAGCACCAGAACCGAATTCCGAAAACACTAAAAAATAAATAAACAGAAAATAAAAGCGGGAAATCATTTCAAGAAACCAGTTCCATGTTAGATTCTTTGACAATAGGAATAGGAATTAGAACATAGCGTTAACTCGCAACCGTTAAATGGGTCATCAAAAAAATGTTACCCATTGATAGAATTTCATCAAGAACAAGCTAAAGTTCTCTATCAAATATGTGTATTTAAACTACTTTTTCTTTTATTTTTGTACCACTTCGACAGTCGATCGAATATAGATAAAAGAATTCTTGTCTATTTATAAAGTGTTTTTAAATTAGATTTTTTGAATAGCTCTAGATATTTGCATAATTTTAGCATAAAATATTATATAATAAAAATTTTTATATAATAATTAATAATCAGAGCTATTAAGATTTTGGGATGAATGAACTGCATTTGAATCTGAAAGCTTTTTAATGAGATAAGCGTATGCTCTAGACAGTTATATACATATATTTATTGCCATATGGTTTTTAAGCTAATGAGAGTACAAAATTGATTTTAGATTAAGATTAAAAACTTACTTTTAAAGTCTGTAGAGCATAGATAAATAGTTCCAAGTAGTAAAATAGATATAGAGTCGAAGAAATTATGATATAAACTAAAATTGATTCTAGATTACCAAATCCTGAGATTACTAAATTTAGAGGTTACCCAAACTTGCCAGATTAATGAATTAATCTGCTAAAAATTAATTATGAATATTAATTATTAAATATGGATAATTATTTAATTATTAATATTATTATAAATTAATTAATATGATATTTTGTATACCTCAACTTATTCGCCTATAAATTCCCCTTAAAATATCCTATTTAGTACTCAAAAAATTTGATCTCATTTCTTGGTCTTCATTGTGCTTTTTCCTGACTCCTCTACAAGTTCCACATATAATTTACAATTCGATACGCCAAAGTATTCAGTTCACACTCATTTCTCCGTCTTAACCAAGCTCAACTGTACTTTTTCCTAGTCATTAATGTAGGTTACTTTTGCATATTTCGCACGATCTTTTTTTATGCCACATAAATTGAAAACTAACAAAAAGAACGCAACTAATTAAAGGTGTGAAGAATGCAACGAGCAAATGAGCACGCACCACATTTTGTCTCTTCCAGTTCGTCTTCTTCTTGTTTAGCACAGGTGTAGAGCGCAACACAGGTGTAGCTGTATATGTCTTCATATTCATGTGTGTATCTGTGTGAAATTGAATGAGTCGACAAAAGAGCGAAAGGCGCATAATAAACCATAATGACAAAATTACTATATTTAGTATGCGAAAAATCGGTCAAAGTGTCAGTAGGTTGTCAGCAGGTGCCTTCATTAGCACCACGCACACACACGAACACGCACACACTCGACTCCAGACTGCGCTTCAGATTTTGCTCTCACTTTAGCCAAATAACGTCTGCGACATTCGCATGATATTGCAGAAAAAACAAAATATTTTTTTTTTTTCTTTTTTGCTTTTTGGCATTAACTTCTTTTCACCTGAAGATCAGGTAGCAGCCGGCAGCATGAAAATCTGTTCAACACGATTTATGAGTTTATTCCCAATCTGCTGCTTCTTCTTCTACATGTTATTTATTTCTAGCCAGGCAACTTTCATTTTTGCTGCCATAGAATATCAATATATAGACAAATGTTTGATGGATTAGTACAAAGAAGAAGCAGAAGAAGAAGCGTATCAATAGTTAATTGGCATGTCTGTGTGAGTGCCTGCCTGCCTGCCTCTTCAAATGTGTATATGTGTATGTGTGTGTGTCTGTTTTTATAGCACTTTGTTTAGTCCGCTTTGTGCACTTGACTCGTCACACAACAGCCTCAACGCCTGCAGCTCAAGTGTTTTCTACTTGTTGTGTTGTCTAGTGTATTTTGCGTGCGTGTGTGTGTGCGTGTGTACGCGCTTCAGAGTGTCTGAAGTGCGGCAATTACTAGCCGCGCAATACAATGGTGCAAGAGCGAGACAGCATGCTGCCGCCGCTCTTGTCAATCAAATTTGTGCGGAGGCGACAAACTTAAGCACAAAATGCTGATCTACAGCCATGTTAAGCACAAAGCAAGCGTGTAGCACAGTGTAAATTAAGCGAAGCAACAATGCGAAACAGCAATAACAACAAACAGCTTGGAAGCTGTTGATTTTGATTCTGCTTTTTTTTTTTCTTTTGAGTCTTTTCGTTAACGTTATAAAAATTGAAAGCTACGCATTCAGGTGACCCACATTTGGCAGCAGCAGCAACAGCCTCAGCCGCAGCAGCTGCTTGTTTGGCATGTTTCCCATGTTCTTAGCTCCAAAAATCTGTCGATGTTCGACCAAAGCAACAAGAACAACAACAACAACAGTTATAGCAGCAGCATTAACAACAACAACAAAACCCGCTACTGCTATAAGCAGACAGAGAGGTTTTTTTCTTTAACACCGTTTGCTGCTCTTTGATACTCTTTGATGCTCTTCTTACCGAATGCTTCCCTTCTTCTTGAAGTACACTAGTAGCAGGCATGCTGTACAGACACATTATATGTAATGCATAGCAAACTCACCTAAAACCATATTATATATGTATGTACATATATATATTGTTAGCTATATTTAATAATAATGGAACAATTTAAATATATATATACATACATTTCGTAATTAACTAACCACATAGCTATTTACAGGGTATTAAGCTCGCGACTCGTCGCTCTTGACAGTTAATTCTTGTTTTCTTTTTGCCATGCAATCAATCTCTTTCTCTCTCACTCTTTCCCTTTTACCCTTGCCATTTGCTACTGTCTACCGCGTGCACAATTTCGTGAGCATTTCAATTCTTGTCCCCTCCACTCATATTTTTTTTCTTCTTTTTTCTGTTTGGCTTTTTTTTTCATTATTTTATTTTTTTTGCACGCTTACTCGGCTGGAATTTTAAATAATACATTTGACGCTTTCATTTTAGCTAAAATGCCGCGGGGCAAACGCAATTTTATTAACGCCTACCTCTTATACTCTTTCGTTTCCATTCCTATTTGTGCTGCTTTACGTATTGTGTTTTGCTATTTTTTTCTGCCGGCGAAATGTCATCATTAACTTTTGGTCATTTTTCCATTGAACTTCAATTAGCAACGGCTGGCACTCACATTTTTCGCAAAAGGCTTTTCACTTTTTGCACACATTGATGAACTTTTTTTCTTGATTTTTGAAAGTGTCGCAATTAAAAAAGTAATTGGCATAAAAAAAGGAAATTGAAGAAGGGCCATGGGGGTCAGCTAATTTTTCGTACTTGTCGCGAATTTGCTTCACTTTTCACACACTTTGCACTTTATTTGTATACCCTGATTTAATTTACTTTTATCTTTAATGTAATTAATCATTTATTTTATTTTAGGCAGATGCCCGAATTATTAACGAAATGTTTGACATGCTAAACAATTAGTTGTAAACGGTAAGTAAATACTGAAAAGAAATTAGAAGAGGGTAAAGATGGAGCCGGAGAGGGAGAGCGAACAGCTGGTGCTGCTCCTAGTTAATTAGTATTCTAGCTATCGTGCGAGCTGGTCACACTGACTGTATCAACTTAAGACAGAGCAGCAGATCCGTGAGCTTTCGTCAAGTTGTAAATAGTTGCCTGTGCGAGAGCGAGAGCGAGAAAGCAGACAACTGCTCTGACGTCATTGTTTTTCTTTTTTGTTGTTAATATTCGAATTTAATGAGCTGCATTGAATATAGTGCAGCTCATTGGCTAAATAAACTAAACTAACTAAATAAATACTGGTTGATTGCAGCAAAATACATGAAATGGTTGACTATTAATATATATTTAATTGATTACTATGTTCTGTGTGCTTTCGTTCAACACATGCATGCATACTTCTCCATATGCCCAAATATACTCCTACATATACATATTCGTATTTACATGTATGTGTCGTGTAAATGGATTTCAGAGTGCAGAGAGTAAGCAAAACAATTGTGCCTTCTCGCTCGAACGCTCGACTTCAAATGATGTGGAGGCACAATCGTTTGATTGATCGACTCTAAAAGGGACCCGAGCACGTATGAAGTTTGAGATGTCCCTTCTATGTATGTATGTGTGTTGTAAGTAGTTGAGTGAGCCCAGCAAGCATTTTTGCGTTTAACAGAGCATAAGTTAGTCTTAAAAGACTCGCGCGATGATTGAAAACAGTCATATGTGCGCTTATTTTCTGATCATAAAAGACTGTTCTGTCGGGAGAAAATGGTACCCTACCCGCGACTCTTCTTGATGAGTCGCTTATGACTCTTATTTTTAATCATAAAAGAGTCTTCCACGAGTCATCTTTTAATCATAAAAGTGTCTTCCACGAATCATCTTTTAATCATGAAAAAGTCTTCCACGAGTCATAATTTAATCATTTTTTGACTCATATTCGATTGAAATTTTCAATAATTTGCAATGAAAAGAATTTTTTTCTTGATATAAATTTAATTTAATATATATATATTTTCTTAAAAAATAACAGCAAAAAAAAAGTTAATTGATACAAAACAAAATATAGAAATTCAAAACAAAAAATAACAAAAATAGTAACAGAAATAGAAAGTATGTTTTATATTATTCTAAGCGCTTACGCTTTGCCAGTTTGTCATTGGCATGGACAAAATGCTTTTGTAGCACCGTATTTAAATCCTTATCCGTGCATGTAAATTTTTCATTAGCAATATCTAAATGGGAAAATATTAATTAATAAAAAATATTATAAATATTTTCCAAAATAATACATACTTTTATTACGGCTATAATGTAACACCTTTCTGCTGATGGTTTAATTTTCGTCCCCTTCCAGCTGTATTCGGAAGCTACCTTGTCCGAAAAAACTTTTTTGATCGCAGCTCTAACAAAATAATAGTTTATAAGCTTCTCTTTTGGCCACTCGACGTAATTGTTTGACTGACATAATCACCTTTTTATTTGTATTTGATATAATTGATATAATTTATTTGTATACACTTCGCACTTGCACTTCACTTGCACTTTCACGCTCGAATGACAAAATTTGCACATTTCGGCTTGTGCTTAAGAAAAAGTACCGTTTAACTTAGATATAAGCTTAGATAAGAATCGATTTTCGATCAGCCAAGCGAGCAGAATATGATTGCATAGGAACAAAGCAAAACCAAGCAATGATCATATTTTAATCACCTGCATGCTCATTTGGCGATTGCTTTGCATTTCGTTTTTGTATTTTAAAGTAATCATACTTTGAGCATATGGATGGGTCATTTATGAGTCTTCTTTCGATCGCCCGGGAGATTAGTCGTTTTTTAATCGTCAAGGGGACTCAAAGAAGACTCATCAAGACGATTTCTGTTAAAACAGTCTTCCAAATGCTTGCTGGGAGCTTGCTGTTGTGTGAGGGAGCGAGAAAGTAGATGTAGTTTAATTGTAGGTCGCAGCCTATTGTTGTTGCGAGCGAGAAAGTAGATGCACTTCGGTTGTAAGCAGAGAGAGAGAGACAGAGAGCGAGAGTGGTAAAGTGATAGAGGCGAATGAAATGCTGTGACGTCAATTTTGAATTCTACGGAATTCAAATTTAACAGGCGTAAATTTTACTCCAATTCATTAATTTGACAGTTTTTGCCAAATTTAAATATTTATTTCAAATATTCAATGCACTTTAACTATTTTTAAATCTAAAATTCGCTTTTAAATGGAATCCAATTTTAAGCCGGGGATTTAGGTAATTGCCTGTATATGTATGTGCGCATACATCTGCACTAAATCTAGTTGCCAAAAAAAAAGAAACGGATTTTATTTCTATTTCCATTTTCGTTGCCAACTTATTTTTATTGAAATTTTGGCCCACAAAATTATTTGCAAAAAGAGAAAAAGAAGAAATAAAGGAATGAGAACAATTGACAGGCCACGCCCCCACCCCCTCTCTGGCGAATAGGAATGCATATACACATAGAAATATATATATATATATATATATATTATCTATATATAGTAGCTGAAAACTGTTGAACAATGCCAAAGGAAAAGAAAAACAAAATGCGAAAAAAATCAAACAATATTCGCTTTATTGAGCTTTTAAGCCGCTCAGCCGCTAAAAGTATCGAGTACTTTGTGCTCAGTATCGAATATAGCAGCACTAAGTACGGCAGCAAGCAGTTGTAATTTGAATACCCTTTAAATTGACGAATACATAGAGGGTATAATTGGCATAAAGTTGATTAAAATATAAAAGACTTTTTGATGAAACTCATGGATATATCTAATAGAACCATGTCTAATATGTATACATATACATATATTTAATCTAGTAATTTTTACAGGGTATGACATGCTATGATATCATTTCTCAGCCACAATTCCATTCAGAAAGAAGCATTTCTTGTATTCATATATGCGTTTATAAAGTAGTGTTTAGTCTATCCGTACTCCTGCTATCAAAAGTCCTACATAGTTGTTAATTTCCTTTTACATGGTGAGAGGGTCTCTGTGAGGGAGCCAAAACAAATACTGCATATTGGATATATATGTTTGCTTGTGTGTAGACAGAACTTCTATAACATCCATATAAGTAAAGCTATGTGTTTTCTAGTTCCGCACATTCGAATGCCAATTGGCGAGTGTTGGTAAACGCATTCAGTCGAGAGGGCAAATTAGTAGCGTCGATTACGAAAATTGTCGATAAATGATTGCAGCTTTATTTGAGTGCCCAAATAGTACTTAAATGTAAATTACATGGAATATCTGCGATTTATGAAACAAAATTTTGGCAATATTCGCGGTTTTTACAATTTCGGATTAGCGATTTATGGGAGGGTGAGATTTTTTCCTTTCTTTTTTGTTGTTGTGCTGACTGCATGCAACGGCTAATTCAACAAATCAGTGGCATTCCGTATGCATATTCGAGCCATATTGACTTTGAGTGCAAAAATAACAGCAAAAAGTGCGGGGGAAAATTGGGCGAAAAAATGTTGGAATATGGAATGGAACGTGTTTTCGCATAAATGGAAAAATTTACTAACGAACTGTTCGATTTTAGATTTGTGTTGATGGACAAACAGGATGCATAAAAATTTGCATGTGGGCGAAGAGAAATGAATTGCTCAACGGGCAGACACTCTGTAAATGCGGGGAAGCAGTAGAAAAGGTGTGGGAAAATGGATTCTATGTGGAAATTATGGGGTTGAAGCTAAGAAAAGTTGATTCGACGAAATGATACTCTATCATATGACTTAACTGTTAGATGCTATGTATATAAGAAAAATAAGTCCAATAAATATAAGGTATAAAAAAAAATTTTTATTGAAGTAAAAAATAATATATGTTTAAAAAAAAATGGGTAAAAAAAAATAAAATCAATATTAAAGAAAATTATTTAATGTTAAAGGGATGCTTTAGAGATAAGAGGCTAAAAAATAAATCCAGTTTATTTATATGAGAAAGCACCGCCTTTATATCCTATCCGGCCACTTTCGTGTAATTACAGGGTATACAAGGCACATAACTGACCATGCTTGACTGCCGTTAAGGCTGCGTGGGTGTGTGTTTGTGTGTGTGCTGTTTTGGCTAATGAAGCTATTAGTGTTGGCCTTGTTATTGACCATTCATCGTTAAACTGAACTGTTTTTATTATTTTGGTAACTTCTTCTGACTTTTTTTCTTATGGAAATCGTTCGACGACGACGGAAATTCCCATTTTCCGCAAACTCCCGCTACAAAATTTTTTTTACTTGATTTACTCCATGCTGCGCTGCAAAATACAAAAAGGCAACAGCAGAATGGCAAAAGTTGTTGTATATATATATATATATATATATATATATATATATATGAATGTGTATAAATATATTTGAATTTGTATGCTTGTTCAAAATATGAGAGGCGAGCATATTGGCTTCAGATATTTTGTATCCATAGGGATCGATGCATTGAAAGTCTTACTGAAGAAATTGGAAATGTTATTTATAAATCCACAGATCTCTATTTATAGCTAGATAGATCTAATTCTCGATAGAGAGAATGACACTTAAAGATTCTTGTGATCCTCTCAATCTGCAGAAGGACTCATAGCCTCTTAAAGATTTATCGGGACCACGGGATGATAGATCCACAGATCCATATGTATCGCTAGATTGGTCTGATTTTCTATAGATAAACTCAAATCTTACATTAAATAGTCCAGCGCATTAAACTATATATTTCATAGTTTCATTGGTTAGATGACCTTTAAGGTATTCCCATTATCATCAGAAATCAGATTTCAAACAATTCCTATACATTAATAGCTTTTTCAGGTCTGTAACGAGTATTCAACAGTCGGGCATGCCCTCGAGCGATGCTCACACTTATTTTGTTTTTATGCTAACTGTAAAGTTAAGGGCAGTCGGGCGATTTCTGTAGCATATCCGTTATGTGTTTCATTTTAATTTTCATACTCGACGGGAATGCTT